CTCCTCCAAAGGTACATTTTGGTTCTTTTATCACATGCATTTAGATACTGTTGCTATGCCTTCATAGGCTTCAACAAGTTCTGTTTGGACGGACACAACATGCTGATGCCCCTTTTCCTGACTCATGCAGAACGTCCTTCCTTTTCTCACCCTATGTCACTCTGCATGGTCACAATAGACCGATCCCCTTATTATTGTCTGGGTTCGAGCAAGGGGGCAACTCCGCAGTCGCGTGGGATCCTGCTGCACACACGCGACCAACCTCACCTCGACATGTGCGTGACTTCTCGCATGCGAAGTGCAGAGCACGCGAAATCTACATGCAGTGCAAGCCTGTCTACAAAAAATGTCACAAGGACTTTTGATTTGAGCTGTTTTGTTTTTGTTTAGACGTCTTCCTTTTTACGACTTCAGGATGCCTTCTCAGGATCATTGCTGCGTTCCTCACTGTCAGAACAGGAGGACGAAGCAAACAAATCATTCCAATCCTTTCCTCGTGTGGAGCCACAGCGGCCTGGAGCAAGCGGGTCCAGGCTATGCCCCGTGAGGAAGGACGTAGTCTTAGGGTCACTCTGAATATTTGAGTTGCAGCGATCATTTCGATCCCGAAATCGAAATCGTTTTGCCCACCTCTACAAGGGCAGGATGAGTCCAGGAACCCAAACAGCTGTCCTATGATACCAGGTTTGCTTTTCGCAAGAGAGTGGAGTCTGGACGCCCTGCTCCCCATGCTCGCAAAACAGTATTTGCTGAGCCTAGTGCAGTTCGGTCATGGAAGTGCAGCGTCTGCATCACGAGCTCCCCATGCTCCCAAACCAGTATTTTGCTGAGAGGCAACGGTACTTTGAGTTGGAAAGGAACCTGGCATAGTGCAGTTTGGTCCTGTAATGGAAGTGTAGCATCTGCATCAGGAGCTGGCAGCAAGTAGAGCTCGTGTACAGAGTCTCGTGGAGCAGTTGGACGATGTGAGGACTGGGGTGAAGAAAGCCGAAAAACAGCTTACGTACAATAACATAAAGAAAGCCGCTCCAGTTTCTGACTGGTTTGCCTTCAGGTGTTTGGACCACTCTGTGGGACTTCTTTGAGGCTAGCCGAGAAAATGTACTGCGCCACGCCAGATCTGCGAAGACGGAAGCTGAGGGACGGCGGATACAGTTGGAGGCGGCCGTAAATCGCCAATGAGCATGTAATGGAGGCTCAGCTGCTATTGGCATTGACGTGTCTAAGCCTGGGCCGAATGGAACAGAAGCTGGTATGCGTGGCACAAGTTAATCATCTGTTTCACGGTATATAACTAGCTGAGCTGGAAAGATGTCTTGTTCCTCCGTTTGGGCATGATCCCCATTTGGGCGAGCTGGCGAGATGTTCAGTCATCAATGCCATGTACCGCAAGACATTCTGCGTTGTGGATGAAACAGTTCTATTTTGCCATGCACTTAGGGTTCTCGCACCGGCACGGCACAACAAGACCCAACAGATCCTTGCGCTCTTATTTTCTCTCATGGTAACATTGCTGATCACAACACCCGGTAGCCAGTCGCAGGTGCTACCAAATCAACCATGTTCTCTTACTCTTTCAATATTTGCATCGAATGCAGTGATGATTTCAATACTGTTCACCAGTACAACGCATTACCAGACTGGCATATAATCATGATAATATTATCCATTTCGCAATCACTGTCATTGCTTTCTTAGATCTCCATTCTCCAATCATCAATATCCAACCATAAACCATCTATCATCTTATATTATATCATCATTAGTATCCCGCTACTATCCTCCTCTAACGATGAGCTCGAAGAAACGAAACAGCTGTCTAGAGGCGTAAACAATATCTGTCAACGGAAGTGTCCTTGCTGTGCTGGTGTGTTTATGCTTCGTGCATTAGTTCGGCCAAGAGCGCATGGTGGTGGCGGGTTGAGGATGTAGTACAGCGGAGTATGACCGAAAGCTCTGTCACAATGTATTTTATTAGGAACGTATTTATTATTATTATTACTTGCATGTACGCGTTGGAGTCAACCATGCAAGCATGATCCACAACTTCGCTTATGCTGAACATGATAAACAGGACTATGACAGGGGAAAAAATGAGCTAGAACGATGATAATAATAATTATGATACTTATATCATATATATTATATACAATGTAGCTCATGGGTATTGAAGATATGTCATTTATGAATATGTCCATAATATGAATATTGCAGCCTGAGTGATAATGATAGTGCTATTTACTGAGTTTGACTGTTTCAGGATCTGTCGGAATATCACAATGCACAGACCCTCATGCATAGATCTCGCCATGCTGGTCTGTCATGGGCAATGGCTCCCAGGCTCTGCAGAGCGTCTACTATTGAACAATCCAGCATTGGCTTGGCGCAGATCTCCCACCATAAAAACTACAGCCGCAAACCACGTAGTGGAAAGCTACAAAACTTCAAAAGATGGCCAACCCATTTTCACATGTACAGACAATTTGCAAAAACGTTCCGAACATTCAGGGAGAAGACATTACTTGCATGACACATTGGCAGAACGAACAAGGCAGACTCGAACATTCCAAGATTCTGCAGCCGTTGCGTTTCAGGTGTTGGGTGGCAGCTCCGTTACTGAGGCCGTATACAAGTCGTCGAGCTCGGCTAGCCGCCGCCAACTAGTCAGCGCAACCTCGGCCACGCGCTCGCATTAGCTCCATGCCCGCGTTGACGGAGCTCCGGGTGACCAACAAGCCGAACAGCTGCAAGTCGCGACTCCACAATGACACTGGCCGTCCGCGTGCTCTAACACTCCGCTCCACTCGTACTCCATCTTTAGCCGTTTCGCTGCTCGTCAAGCCCTGCAGGTAACTTGATTTCTTGAAGGGTACAGACGTCTATGCCGTAGAAAGAGAGGTACCGACACAAGCCAGTTCCTCTTGACGGCCGACATGAGGCCCCGCACATTGAAAATTCCGACAGCAAATTTTTCTTTTCCTCCGTAAAGCGTTCGTTCATCAGCTCGTACCATTGATTCCCGTCGCATCGTCCCGTCACTAATGTCCAATGAAAACTGCTCCCCAGTTGCGCGAGGAGACTACATTTCCTCCGGTGAGCGAGGAAGAAGAGCGGAGTTACCCAACTCAACCAAACTAAGGAACGTATAGAAACAGAAAAAAACTGTATCTTCATCTTGGGCGTAAACAGCCCGTCTCACATTAAATATACTAGAAAATAGTTCACTCTGAACATGCAGTCTTCCTAAGAGAGAGAGAGAGAGAGGGGGGGGGGTATATTCATAGGTTCGAAAGAACCGCACACACACTTTGCTGCAGACAGCGGCAAGCTTTGACCCTCGTGCTTCGAAGAGGGAGCAATCCACTGCGCTACGCTTGTGATTAACAGCAAGCTTCGACTTTTCAAAGGTACGACTCATCACTGGCTCCGGGGTAATGTTCCTGGAACAAATGCCCCATTGCCGACTGAGGGCCAGGGAGCACACAATCTGCCTTCCTGGGGAGAAGTGTTCCAGCACAAGAAGCAGCACGAATACATGCTGACAAAAACCACCATCACTACCAGCCGGCACACAACACACTGTTCTTCAAACACCTTCCACTCCTTCCATGTGTTTGCACTGTCCTCCTCTAGCTCTTCATGCTCAACAAATACCACGCACTGCTAATCGTTTTTTTTTAATGCTTCCTCTGGGTTGGCAAGCCCTTCGACTTGACAAAACAGCGATCACCACTGCTATCGTCACCTCATAGCAGTCGCTTCCACCAGTGGCTTTTCCTGTCTTTGCAAGGTGTCCAAGGATGGCTGCTGTTGTCACTACAGGCAAATCAGAAGTACTTTAGTGGCTGATGTCCAACCAGATCGTTGGAAAATCGATTTTTCCACTTCAGGGCTGCTGATCGCGATCGCGACTTGGTGACTTGGCAGCACCACGGTTACCTTCATAGAAGATGGCTCTGGAGAGGAAAAGGCAGACCAGAAAAAGGTTACTATTATCTTCAGCACCGATCTCAAGGAAAAAGAAATACGGTCTGCTGTAGCCTAGGCACAAAATAAATCTCACAACACGATTCGCGATTCGAATATTTCAACAACAAAACAACTCACCTCTGGAGTAACTCCTGTTTGTGGCCCGAGATCGTTCCCTCCCGCGCCTTGAAAAAATCCTGCAGCGGCCTCACAGTCCATATCTCTCTCGGAGACCCTGCTCCTACCAGCAGGAGGTTCAGCACCGCTCGAAGCCATCGCAAACCACTTGAACTAAGCAGAAGACATTCCAAAACAAACCTGAAACACACTGTCAAAGATGCTGTCACGTTCAAAAACTAGCTCGATCGCGAGTGAGGTTGCCCCCGTGCTCGAACCCAGTATAATAAGGGGATCGGTCTATTACATACATCCACATACACGTACATGTACCGGCATATGTACGAGTATGGGCTTGTGGGGGGGGGGGGGGGGAGCATCGAAGTCGGATCTTGCCGGACCAACCAAAATGGGGCTGCTACCGGCCTCAAGAGTTCTGAAAAGCAAAGAGCAACACGTGTACATGTGGCCTGAAGCAGAGCTGGCAGCGCAAAAGGAAACATGCAGCCAAAAAAGATGCCTAGCTCTGGCATACATCGTAGAGGTCACTGCGCATCCGGGGCACTGCGCCCCAAAGGTGACATAATTATGGCGAATATGGAATGAAAGAACAGGAGGAAAGGAAATAAATGACAGAAGACAGAAGAAGGGTGATGCTGAAGTTGAGGTTGCGAGCGCTTCAAAGGCACATGTGACACTGTATCCATCAGTAGTTCAGCAATCTCTGCTCCTCTTCTCCCCCATACGCTCTGAGTTGACACATGACTACCCACAGTAGCCATTGCGCACACCAACAATTTGAAACAACGAAGGGGTTACGGGTATGTCAAGTATTATTACTGGTAATATTCCTCTGACAGCTTTATTGACATAGCATCAGAAGTGGTAAAAAGATATGCAAGGCTTAATCTCACCTGCGCAGATAACACGGTGGTGTGAAGTTAGTCTATTAAGCAAGTCCCATTGGCCGTTGAAGTAGAAACTAGTTAAACTGTCTCTAGGCACACCGGTGTGCGTGGCGCGTATGAAAACACCGGTCGATGTGGTGGAGGGCTTGCTGGAAAGTGCAAACTTGTAATTCTGCACCATGCTGTAGAGGCAATCAGCCACAACATGGCTTCCAAATAGCTTTCTCGTCGTGGGCAATTCCATTCCGGACGCCCGGCACATGTTCTGGGCGTCCGATAACGTCACCGGCTCAAAGAAATAGCCCGGTGGAATGCGTAGCGTAGTGTTCACACAGTCATCTCGATGGTGGAATGAACCTGTAGCGTAACAGGAGAAGCAAGGCACACAGGTCAGGGCATACAAGCTCCATAGCTGCCGATCTTTCTAAGGATTTCTCTTTTAATTAATCTCAGCTGAGAGGTTGAGTTGATAGTGTTCCTCTCGTCAGGGGCTTTCCAAGATGCCCAAGATGTAAAACCTGGCTGAATTTCTATTTCCCTGTTCTTGGACTTTTCTGGCCTCAAATGTGGCAACAAGTAAGTGCATGGTTCACACAGTGCAGGGTGCACTGTTGTTTTCACGATATCTACAACTATGTGAGGGAGACACCAAAACGTTAGGGTGCCAGTTTCCAAAGAATGGATTGTAAATCATTTCAACCACAAAACTACCAATATCTCATTTGCAGCTCGGAGTTTCATGCCTTACACAATCATCAGGCAGAATTCTACAGCGGGCCTACAGCACAGCAAATCGGGCTTTTAAAATAGAGGTGCCCCTGTGGAAGGTCTGGGTCCTATCAGGACCTATTGTTACAGTGGCAGACCAGAATGTTAATGTGTTACTGTAGACTGCTGGTCTACTGTGCACTGGATGAGTGTAGTACAGCAAAGAATGCAGGTCTCAGGGGCTAATTGTTTGTTTTAGACACTGCACACTACGTAACGAGTTTCGACTGAATATGTCATGAAAAAACATTCTGCAAGCTATTATAATACTTGATTGGTGTTGTAAGGAGTGCACAGTTGATCTTATGCATTACCGTAAATGCTAAGAGGCTGCGCCTCGGTTCTTATCCAGGTTTTTCTCTCTATCCAACTCAGCACTCCACCCTACACATGGTATCAATAATACACCGTACTAGCGCCACTAGAGCCTCTCACGAATAGTGTCCCAGTCTCTAGAAGCCAGTGAAAAATATAAAGCCCTCTTTGAATAGTGCCCCCCCCCCCCGGCTTCTAACAAAGCGCTTGTGCAAGTTTGGTGTTCTTTTGCGAATGACTAATGTTTTTGTCCATGTCGTTGCACTGGTGGTTTCAGGATCAACCTCACTGTTCTTGTTGCCCATTCTGTTGAGTTGTGATAGCGTACTGTGCAATTTAGGCTCTGTTTTTCTTTGCCTTCTTTGTTTTTATGGGGGATAACGTAAATGTACCAGCACGGAAAAAAATTGTGCCCTCTCTTGAATGGTGCCCCACCTGTGGTGGACACTACAAAATAGTACTCCAGGGGTATTAATCGCGCGAGTAGGGTAACACATTGTAATAAACAGAACTGGCTGAAGTGCCGAGAGAGCTTGGAAGCTCAGGGCCCTACGCTATGCTTTTTTGCCTAGTTCATCGTACACGTTATTATAACTGATGTTGTTGTTTTTTTCTTTGATTGGCCACATCATTGCATTTTATAAACATTTCGATAAGTTTGAATATGAGTTAGGCAAAAAAAAAACATTTTGTAGAATTTATTGCGGATTGTTATTTTTCTCTAATTTCATCCACTTTTGGTTTGCTCCTTTTTTCTTTTTCATCTGCTTATACTGTAAATTAACAAATTTCGGCCGATGAGAAACTTTGGCCGATTGGAGTTTTCAAAAAGTAATCGATCGGTTTTTTTTTGCTTTCACATGCATCCATTGCTCAATCATGCATCATTTGCCTCTATAACAAACTTTGGCCTGCGATTTACTGTGGCCGGTTGGTACTAAGCGGCGAAATAAGCGAAATTAAATCGCTATCGAAAATCGTTTCTGGGACTGGCGCTGACTCTGCCGATCACGAGCGTTCTGGACTCGACGGGATGTCTGCCCTGACGTTTCCTGGGGCGGGCGCCGACTCTGCCGATCACGGGCGTTCTGGACTCGACGGGATGTCTGTCCTGATGTTTCCTGTGACTGGCGCTGACTCTGCCGATCATTGGCGTTCTGGAGTCGACGGGATCTCTCTTCCGACGTTTCCTGTGACCGGCGTGAATCGCCCATTCACGCTTATTTTGGAGACGACGGGATCTCTCTTCCAAAGTATGCTTTTGCTGACGCATCCAATCACCTATTCGTCGTCTATTCTACTTTCATTTCCTCCTCGTCTCCCTATTTCTTTCCAAAGCTCCCTCTACATCAGGGAGTCGTATACATAATACGACGAATATTTTGGCCAGCTGTGTTTGATGGTACAGTACGGGACAGATACTGGAGCCAGCAAATATGGTGGCCAGCTGTTATGTACAATCCTGTAGAGCCTTTGTAGTCACAGATACGGGACAGATACGGGATAGCTCCAGGCGTGACACAAACACACAAACAAACAAACGCCAAACGAGGGAGCTTGGAAGCTCAGGGCCCTACGCTATGCTTTTTTGCCTTGATGACCTAGACAAAAAAAGCATAGGGATGTTATAAGTTCTTTAAAAAAATCCTTTTTTAAGACATAACCTGGGATTCGAACCCGCACTATCGCGCGCCCTGCATGCATCCCCCGATTCACTTCGCATACATTATAATTCTTCCAAGTTGCTTCACGTTATGATCTTGCATTTGAAAGCCCTATTTGAATATGCATTGTGGTCAGCTGTCTTTGATGGCACGGTACGGTACGAGATAGGTACGGGACCGGTACGATCGAGGGTAATGCGACACCGTCTACCGTTGTTGCAAACCACCAGTTCTCAATTGGGAAAGGCCTTCGCGCAATTCGCGTATTCGTTGCAATGTTGTATTTCGACTCCGCCGTACCGTTGATGTTGCTGCATGGCACACGCTATATGCGCTGTGTGCGTTTTTGCTGTATACACTGTTATGTCCAGTTTTATATGCATATGTTTTGCATGTACGCTGTTTTTGCATGCTATAAATAGCTGGTGTTATTAGTGTTCATTGTTAATTATTCGATGAAGTGAAATATACTGTGTAAAGGAAAAGAGTTGTCCTCGTGCCGTGTGGTTGTACGATCTTGACAATTTAGAGAATCTTAGAGGGTTCACAACATTTGGCGACCACGCCAGGATAGGAGCAAGCATGGCAGAGCAACTACACAATTTTTGGATTTTACTGCAAGAGGAATGATGCTGGCAGGGGTATCCATTAGAGAAAATGGAGTCAGTTTGGCTGTGCCTTTACTCCTCGTTTCCCGGAGTTCTGGAGAGCGAAAATGAAACCAGGGAGTCGTAAAATATTTGTCACAACTCCCTCGTGGAATCGAGTAATCATCATCGCGGCGGATCACGCAGCTTGAAAGCCAACTTACTTGACCGACGGCGACATCAAGGTCAGCGGAGTGTGAACAAAGAAGCCGAGGCAAGGCTGAAACGAGCTGAACAACGACTCGAGAGAGATGACGACTCGTGTGCAGCAGATGACGACTCGCGGGGCAGCAGATGACGACAGCGACGCAGGTCAAAATGAGTCAAGCGAAAGCGACGCAAACTGAAATTTCTGCTCTTTCCTCCAACAGTTTCTCTTGTAAAGCCGCTGTACATAGGCCGATTCACCTTCGTCTAGTGATTTGCAGTCGATACAAACTGTTCTTGACCTGTTCTAAGCGTTTTCATATCCATCAAAATCCATCACGAAGTTTTTGTTAACGGAGGAAGTACAAACCACGCGAAAATTCAAATTTTTGCTCTTTTGACAGCGCTGAGAAACCTTCAAATAGTGACGAGAAGACCAGACATATCCCTTCGTGACAAGCTGCCACTTGTTCTTTTCAGCTCGAGCCTTTTTTGGGAGCTACTCTGGTACATCGTCCACACTGCTGCCAAGTCTCGACTCCCCAAAATGGATGGAAGTGACTAATATGGAGGGCGCTATCCTAGGTAAGTAACGCGATGGAATTTTCTCATCTTGACATGGTGTAACACGAACCTGAATTTCTCATTTGGACCCACTCGGACACCTCACCAAGTTGGGATATTTCGAAACTTTACCTATTTGTCTACCATTCTACTTCATCTCAACGTGTTAGCTACTGTAACACTTTGGAAAACTCATTCCGAAAATTTTGAAACTTATTTATTTGTATAGACTTGAACATAATGTTCAAGATCACTTGTTTTCAGGACTGAATGAGGCCAGGCCTGCTTGCTTTGTTGCTTTTTTAACCCCCAGAACCCGTGGACAGAAGAGGAAGAGCGACGACTTGGGTGTGGCTGCGAAGTCTGCCTGCCCAACGCCAATTGCAATTACACCCACACACATACACACACCCTCTTGTACTTGTACACCACACACGCACGCGCATGTGCGCATACATAAAACTATTCGTCTTTATCCTTTTGTGTTTGACATGATCACCTTTTGTACTACTCCCTGGTGAATATTTGCATAACATGAATGGCACAGGGATGACTTGTGGCATTGTACGCTGTACACGATTCCACGGTGCCATAAAAGTAACATTGGTTATAATCATGGGTTACACCATGGTACGGTACGGAGGGCCTGTTTTCAGCCAATCAGCGCTCATCTAGCCATGGTAATATTGGCCAGTATAAATCCGGCGCGGGATTTATACTGGCCAATATAAATCCCGGTGCACGGTACTTACGTTAGGGCACTGCCGCCGTACAAGTTCACTGTCTGAAAGGCAGTGAACTTGTACGGCAACAGACACCACATGCACGTGTACACTCCACACAGAACGGCACACTGACGAGGAACAGTACACAATGGAAAAGAAGAATGACCTGGAATTCGTCTACAGAGTATTCTATTATACTGAATCTGAGGATAAAGAACGTCGAATAACCACGAAGTATCCCAAATGGGTCAGCAATGTACATTGTACTTCAAAGAGTTGAAGATCATCAACAGACTGTCTCCTTCGTAACTAAGTTTATAATACAGAGTGTACTTCAACCCGATTGGAAAATGCTAGATTGGATTGAAATGTGATACACAACGGGTGTATGCAAATGCATCTACTTGCAAGTAGTAAGCAAAACTGATTACCGTATTATCTCTAATATAAGCACAGTCTCCAATAATAGCACGTCTCCAATAATAGAACACCTTGGGGCGGCATTCAAAAAATAAAGTGCTCAGTCT